TTGTTACTCTATTCTCCCATTTTAGACGATACATTGAATTGTTACTCTATCCTCCCATTTTAGACGATATATTGAATTGTTACTCTACCCTTTCGGTCTTAGACGATACATTAACTTGTCACTCTACCATCCTATCATGGACAATACATTAAATTGATACTCTATGCTCCAGTCTTGGGCGACACATTACATTTTTACCCAGCCATTCCATCTAAGACGATACATTAAATTGTCACACTACCCTACCATCACAGACGTTATATTAAATTGTTACTGTCCCCTCCCGTTTCGGACGATACATACAATTGTTACACCACCTTCCCATCTCAGGTGATACATTAAATTGTTACTCTACCCTCCCATCATAGACGATACATTAAATTGTTACACTATCCTCCCATCTTAGACGATACATGAAATTGTTGCACAACCCTCCCGTCATAGACGATACATTAAATTGTTACTTTGTCCTCCATCTTTCATGATACATTAAATTGTTACTCTACCCTCTCGTCATAGACAGTACATTAAATTGTTACTCTATCCTTCCATCTCAGACGATATATTAAATTGTTACTCTACCCCCATCACAGACGATACATTATATTGTTACTCTACCCTCCCGTTTTGGACGATACATTAAATTGTTACACTCCCTTTCCATCTCAGATGACACATAAAATTGTTACTCTGCCTTTACGTCATAGACGATAAATTAAATTGTTACTCTCCCCCCATCTCAGATGACACATTAAATTGTTACTCTGCCTTTACGTCATAGAAGATACATTAAATTGTTACTCTACCCTCCCATCTTACATGATAAAATAATTTGCTACTCTATCCTCCCATCTTAGGCGATACATTTTGTTGCACTACACTCCCATCTTTCACGATACATTAAATTGTTACTCTACCCTCCCGTTTTGGATGATACATTAAATTGTTACACTACCTTCTCATCTCAAATGATACATTAAATTGTTTCTCTGTTACTCTATCCTCTCATTATAGACGATACATTAAATTGTCACAAGTCCCTCCCATCACAGACGATACATTAAATTGTTACTCTACCCCCCATCTCAGATGATACATTACATTGTTACTGTTACTCTATGCTCCCATCTTGGGCGATACATCAAATTGTCACACTTCCCTCCCATCACTGACGATACAATACATTTTTACTCTACCCTCCCATCACAGACAATACGTTAATTTGTTACTCCTCCCTCCTATCATAGACGATACATTAAATTGTTACTCTACCCTCCCATCACAAACAATACATTAAATTGCTACTCTACCCCCATCTCAGATGATATATTAAATTGTTACTCTCCCCTCCCATCACAGACGATACATTAAATTGTTACTCTATGTAGCTGCCCCAGTAACCAACGCAAAATACTGATGTAACCTTCACTTTATTTATGACGAACAATATTGAGAAGATTGATACATTAAATTGTTACTCTACCCTCCCATCACAAACAATACATTAAATTGCTACTTTACCCCCATCTCAGATGATATATTAAATTGTTACTCTCCCCTCCCATCACAGACGATACATTAAATTGTTACTCTATGTAGCTGCCCCAGTAACCAACGCAAAATACTGATGTAACCTTCACTTTATTTATGACGAACAATATTGAGAAGATTGTAACACCGTCAAAACTGTGAAATACAATAGTATACGTTCAGAAAATAATAACATGAACTTGCGTTTTCGTATTGTAATAAGTGCCAGTGCTGCTATGTAAATAGATAGGCAATGATATATAGCACAGTGCGTCACCTAGTGGCGAGACTAGACGAATCTATCGTACATGTACACACAAAATATGGTAAAGCTATACATGTATCTGAGCTCATACGAATAGATTACAAACTGTACATGGAATGTGACTTGCATAATCGTATAGAAAACTACTGAGAATTTTAGATGAGTGTAAACTTGACTACACGAGTGTCGACTCAACTACACAACTGACGGTGACTCGGCATGTAAACTACGCCAACAATAAATCAACTAAATCGATAACGCTACCAAAATAAGCCTAAACGTAACAAAAGTCTTCTCAAATAATTCTCTAGTAACTCCTCAAACGTTACCTACCTCGTTGGCAGCATAAATGATACTTGGGCAGCGAAAAAGACGAAAACTAGATGCAGTGAAACAAGCGTTTCACTTCCAGTGAAAGCGAAAAATGGCGACTGCCTCAATCCTCGTACAGAGCGCGCACAATACCAAAAACTGCCATGAGGTAAATAAACGAGTGGAAGCACTAAAAGAATCAGGAACAAGTCTAAACAACAAAACTACAGTACCTATTAGTATAACCTGTAGTATAATTTGGAAGAAGACGTCTTTCACGTGTACATATCACGCAGATAAATGAACGAGGCTAAACAAAGCGCGGGAACGCGGCAAAGTTTAGGTTGCTCGGGCAACGGCAGCCACACTCCCACCCAAATCATTCAAGATGATTTCTAAAAAGAGGAGGTATTCGGAATAAACAAATATTGCCTTATCAATGTAAAACATGTGAACGATCAATGTCAACTACTGTGTCTACTCAGTAGAAGTAACATCATTTCAATCCTTCATGACAGGAAATGAGAAGAATCAGCTCATGAATTGGACGGTCTAAAAACTTTCTAATGTAAATTGGCTTACCTGTTTTATCTAAGTCTGGAGTGGCCATTAGTAGCTTTACCCTTCTCACAAGACCATCACTAGAGGGATAGGTCTCTGCCACTTTAGCTAATCTCCAATCAGAGCGAAAGATGTTCTCGTCCTTTAGCATAACGATATCACCAACTCTGATATTTTCTTTGGTACCTTGCCAGGTTTTTTGTGACTGAAGATTCTACAAATATTCTTTTTCCCACCTTGTCCAGTACACAGTGGGTAAATGGTGGAGAGGGTTCTGTCCTGTCTTCTGGGAGGTTTGCCATTTTTTGTGACACTCTTCTTCCTCTCAGTTTTTTGCACGTAACACAGTTTTGGATCAGGGACGACACTGTTGAACGACACCCAACAATCCAGTATCCATGATTCTGAATCTCATTGACAGTCATGCCTCGATCTTGATGACCTATGCGGTCATGATAATGACTAGCAACCAACGTTGAGAAATGGTTTCTCTTTGGCAACAATATTGGATGCTTCACTCCATATAAGAAGGCTGACCTTTTCAATCTGCCTCCCACCCGTAGCAAACCATTCTCATCGAGAAAGGGGTCCAGGTTCTTTAGAGGATCGTCTCTGCGACTAGAAGTGTATCTCTTCTGGAGATTCTGTATACTGTCTTTGAATGTTTCTTGCTGTATAACTCTGATAAGGTTTGTCTCTGCTAAGTTTCTAACCTGTATTTTGGAGAATAGCTTTCCCCGGTTTTTGAGTGAACATTCAACAATGACTGCCATTGCTGTCACTGCCTTTGAATAGCTAGAAAATCTGCTCATCCTCTCTGTGAAGCTAGTGAACTTCATTCTCTGTACAATATGTATGTCGGTTTGACCTCTACATCATCTGGTGGGATTTCCAAGTCAATGGCTGCAGTCTGAGGTGAAGCCTCTGTTTCCCACAAAAACTTAGGGCCTGTAAGCTGGATTTGGCGATTTCATCAGCT